GATCCGCCCTGCTCTGTGCATGACAGGGCAGCGCCCAAACTCCCCAATCGGCCCTGCTCTGAGCCTGACCAGGGGCTGCACTTAGGGATTGGGCCTGCCCTCTGCCACCTGGGAGCAGGCCTAAGCCAGCAGGTCGTTATCTGCCGAGGGGTCCCAGACTGCGAGAGGGCACAGGCCGGGCTGGGGGACCCCCCTCCCCCCGCGTGCACAAATTTTTGTGCACCGGGCCTCTAGTATATATATATTTTTAAAAGCGCAATGTGGAACATCATGTAGTAGAAGAGTAAGTGAGGAATATAGTACTGGCCTAGTGTTGTCTCATTGAACATAATTTACCACTGGCCAGCCTCCAAATTCTCACACAGAAAAAAAAAAAAGAAGATGCAGAGACAGAGAAATACCGAACAGACCATCAAACCTCAGAGGGAAGGCGGGGGGGGGCTGGGAGGAGGAGGTAAGAGAGCAACCAAAAGACTTATACGCATGCATATTAGCACAACCCATGGACATGGACACTGGGGCAGTGGGGGCTTGTCCTGGGGGTGGGAGTGGCCGGGGAGGGGTCGATGGGGCAAAAAGGAGACTGATAATACTGCAAACAATAAAAATAAAAAGAATCTTGGTCAAGGAGATGAGCATTCTTCATATATTTCTGGCAACTTTTTGGCAAGCATGATATAATTTTTTAAAAATTGTTTCTGAAAAGCGATTACAATGTAATTAGGAACAAATACTCTAAAAGGAGTGGCTGCCAAGAACACTAGAAACTAGCACTAAGGTATTTAAAACACAAAACGAAACTAGTATCCAACTCGAAGGCTACGCAAAGGCCCAGACCTGGGAAGAAAGGTGGGGCAACATGCGAACTGCAGTGGGATGAGCTTCCCTCCCCGGCACCTGCAGCCCCGGCGGATGTTTCACAGGGAAGAGGAATAAATAACAGCATCCCCCGTTCCCTCTTTACTCCCTCTCTAACCCATGTCTGGAATCCTACAGTTTGTTCCATAAAATCCTAATTACTCTTAATTTTACCCATACCTTGCTGCCTGTCTACCTTCCCAATTTTCCTCTCTCAACTTCAACGTGCTTGGCATAGATCAATCATATAGCTAAAAACACCATGAAAGTTGTATGAAACATTTGTTGGGGTGATGCGAGGCAGACAGAAATTGAGAAGGAGGTATCTCAATAAACTAAATTAAATGAAAGCCACCGTACCCTCCCATCCTGGGTGTGAGAAACTTTATCAAAAGAAATCCTTGAGAGAAAGCGGAAGCCTGGTAAAACCAGGACAGTCAACCAACGAGGAAAGCAGTTCTGCCCTCCTTGCCAGGCATGCTCTCTCGGGGGCCAGGCTGGGCCTCACCTTGGCTGCCTTCAGCAATATTTCTCTTTCTTCTAAATCCTTTCTCTGCTTCTCCAGTTGATCCAGCTTTTCGAGAAATTTGAGCTGTGACCTGGTATCACTAGACAGGATGTAATTTTCACTTGTCTGGAAATAAAAAAAAGTTTTATGATGATCCTAGGCAACACCTTCTACATTAGGTCTTGTTACAAACCAGCTAACAGCAGGAACAGCAATATACAACAGGGTCGCTAATTTTTCAGAAGTATTATTTTAACTTGTTAAACAAACATAACAAAAAAAGAACTTTAATCACCCTTAAAATTTGAGAAATGATTACGCATTTAAATTTCGAAGAGTTTTCCTAGTAAGCTTCATTGGGAAAGGGTGGGGGAATTCAGCCAAAGACCCTAACAAGAAGTAGAAAGCAACAGAGTGTAGCATTTAACTGTAATCTAAATCTTTTTAGTTAAATTACTGTCTGTCTGAGCAGACTTTAATATGATTAATTAAATCTTAGGCCTGTGAAGGATACAAACAAAACAACTGCTTCACTGAGAAATAGACCGAAGATGGAAGTTATCACTCTTGTTTCCACTGTCGGATCGCTCTGACCTTCTCAAGTGAATACAGTTCCCACCAGACTAGCAGCTGAGAGAAGATGGCGAACATTCAGATCGTAAACCCCGTTTTGAGGATTCCCTTCCGCCAAGCATGTCTAACTCGCGGCCCGCGGGCCGCACGCACCCACCACAAATATTTTTGCGGCCCAGCCAATGTAACGGGATGTAAGAAACATTTTAATAAAAATTTAGTGACTTAATTTTTACAATATCCTGTTGTACATAATTATTAATAACGAACTACAACGCTCCCTAATGACTGATTACTACAATCGTGTTGCATTCATTTCACTTTCGTGCCTTACGCAGGCACACCATTTCTCTCCACGGACTGACTTGTTCGGTGTGCGCAACAGGAAATATTCCGCTTTCGGACAACAAGAAAAATAGGTTTCTTTGCACTACACTTATTAATTTGTGCGGTTATCCAGTGTCTGGTAAGTAAATGTTCAAGAAAAAAATATTAATTTTTATTAATATGTTCTATTATTTTGTTAACAATTACTCATTTATTTCATCCCTTTGTATTCAGCATGTCTCTATCGAAATAAACGTACGTTTCTATGAAAATTGAAGCTTTCGTGTGTTTTTTTTGCAGCCCACATAAACTTAAGCCTTGTTTATTTGACCCATTTTGCCTTTGAGTTTGACATGCTTGCCTTCAGCTATGAACTTGGGCAGACCTACGTTAAAAGAAATTAAGTATCCTATGTAACCCTATATAATAAAAGCCTAATAGGTAAATTGTTCGACTGGGAGTTCAACTGCTCGATATGATGTGCGCTGACCACCAGGGGGCGGTGTGGAGCATGGCAGGCATTGGCGATACAGTACTGGCAGTGGGCGGCAGTGGAGGTGCTGCCGGCCTCAATGGGCCCCAAGAACGGGACCATGGTGAGATGGTAGAGCAGGTGAGCGGCCGGCGTCAGTCCAAGGTGGTTGCAAGTGGGGACCCGATCGCCCCACCAATCGCCCCGCAGGCAGGATGGTGGAGCAGGTGAGGGGGTGGCACCAGGCCACAGCAGGCTGCCAGGCAGGGCGCCAGGCGGGGCTGCAGGGCTGCGAGCTGGGGCTGGGAGCCTGGGGCCCGATCCCTGCAGGCCACCCTGAGGGACCTCACCCGTGCACAAATTCGTGTACCAGGCCTCTAGTACACTTTGTAAATGAGAGCCATAACAGAAGAATAATTATGTCTTAATTGATCCATAAAATGGTAAAATTTACGTTGTTTCATTTATTCTGATATTTTAGAGTATAAAACCGTGCTTTCCAATCTAAATACTTTGTTATTTTCTTCATCTGATCCGATAACCTACCCCTCCCCTCTAATGCATGGATGAGTGTGCGTACTTGTGGTGGAGGGGAATTTCCCATCAATATGTGAGACACCTTGCCTCCATTCGCCTAGTGATTCAGACATCAAGCTACAGGAGAGGGACCAAGGAGACTGTGTAATTGGGAAACTTGGAATGTTTCTAAACATTCAGTCCAACAGCCAGTCTGGCTTGTAAACCATGGGTACAGCACCACTCCCAGCTTTGTTTTACCCCATGCTTATGGCTGATCCAATTAACTGGGACTGAAAGATTTCCTATGTCCAAGATTCTTTTTAAATTAAATGTTATTGTTGGTATTTCACTAGATCACAGAGTGTTGCATAGTATAACGAACAAAGCTGTATTAGTGCTACTTATTTAACTTCACATATAATAACAAAAAGAATTCTCAAGTGCTTTCTAAGTTAAATAATACAAGATAGAATATGGAATACATTATAGGCCAACCATAGAGATATAAACATAATAACCAGTGGTTTCTTAAATACTTCATCCTTACAATTTCTGTGTTCAGATACACTGGAGATCTTTTACTTTACAAAGACAACAAACAGTAAATTAAAAAGGGACACAGACTTTCTAAACTTTAACCCAATCTCACTCCCACACTGAGGTTCCTCTTCTCCCCCGACTGTATAAAGCCATCGCTGGCTTCATGAATGATCCTTACTGTTCTCTTCCACATACAAAACAAGTGAGTGCGTTCTCCTCTCCTACTGAGTACCTGACCTTATTTCAACGACAGTACCCCCATCTCATCCTGTTCCCTCCTGCCTACCCAGTGGCCTAACTGAAGATTTCATGCACCACAAGGTATGGTTTAGCAATAAAAATACAAGGACCTAGACCAGTGGTTCCCAACGTGGGGCACATGCCCCACTGGGGGGCAATGTAATTTTTAAGGGGGGCAATTCGAGAATGAATTATTAACAGTGAATTTTTTGTATTTCTTATGGTTCTAGGGGTCTCATATACAGTATATAAACATATTTATGCATTTCAGTTCTGTTTTGAAACTTTATTTGCTATTTTTAATATCAATTCATATATTATTATTCTTTTAACCATTTCTTAGTGATGTCTTCCTCAGTACTTCAACTGTCCTTTTGTTCTTTTATTTTTCTCTTTCATGGATTCCATGTTCTTTGGAAGATTGTTTAGACCAAGTCAATGGCCTTTTAGGCTTCCTCCACGTGAATAGGAGCTCACTTTTTGAATAATAAAGAATAAGAATTCTATGTCACAGGCGGGGCTCAGGATTTTAGAGGTGCTTAGGTGGGGCGTGGCCAAAAGAAGGTTGGAAACCACTGACCTAGACCAAATGCTAACATCGTCAGTGAATCCCTGCTAAGGGAAGACCACAGTCCCTTTCTACTGGAAGCACTGAAGCCCCCTTACAGCTGCGGACATGCGAGCTGTCATCTTTCTTCCGCGGGAAAACACCTGGCAGACAGATCAAAAGCTTTGTACCGGACGTCACTTTCTACTTCCTCACTGAAATCTCAGTCTATGGACTGTGATTGATTAGAGAATTATATCTCACCAGGCGAAAGGTTATCAAAAGCAGATGGATTTGAAATGGGGGGGGGGGGGAAATTTTGCTTTTAATAAAAGTAGCTCACTTTTGTGAAATTCATGGAGTAAGGACATACAGAAGATCAAGAGACATATGAAAACATGCTCAAAGTCACTCATCATCCGAGAGGTGCAAATCAAAATGACAATAAGGTACCATCTCACACCTGTCAGAATGGCTACCATCAACAAATAAACAAACGACAAGTGCTGGCGAGGATGCTGAGAAAAAGGAACCCTCGTGCACTGCGGGTGTAATGCAGACTGGTGCAGCCACTGTGGAGAACAGTATGGAGTTTCCTGAAATATTTCTTTTTAGATAAATAATGATTTGCATTAGAGTAAATGAGTCTCCACCATGTGCTATCAAATTCTATTTTATGCTCTTTTCAAATAAAGATATGAAAAATGCTGTGCTGAAAAAAAAAATTCATGGAGTAAAATTTCCCACACTGTACAGATAAAAAAATATATCCTTTCAGGGATGAACTGAAATATAAAGACAGGGCCAATGCTCTGACACAAAGATTATTACAATCAAAGTCTTAAAATAAGTATAAGTTTTGAAAATGTTTTTATTGATTTCAGAGAGAGGGAAAGAGATAGAAACATAGATGAGAGAGAAACATTGATTGATAGGCTGCCTCCTGCACGCCCCCTACTGGGGATCAAGCTCACAACCCAGGCATGTGCCCTGACCGAGAATCGAACCGTGACCTCCTAGTGCAGGGATGGAGAACCTTTTGAGCTTGGCGTGTCGGCATTTTGAAAAACCCTAACTTAACTCTGGTGCCGTGACACATATAGAAATTTTTTGATATTTGCAACCATAGTAAAACAAAGACTTATATTTTTGATATTTATTTTATATATTTAAATGCCATTTAACAAAGAAAAATCAACCAAAAAATGAGTTTGTGTGTCAGCTCTGACATGCGTGTCATAGGTTCGCCATCACTGTCCTAGTGCGTGGGACGATGCTCAACCACTGAACCATCCCCGCCAGGCCAAAATAATCTTGCAGTAGATCCAAATATAACGAAATGATGACCATTTCTCTTTAAAGGATAATGTGGCTGCCTTTCCATGCGCACAAATTCAGACGGGGCACTGACTGTATTAAGGAGCGAGTGTGGAGGAAGGTGAGAGGGGAAAATCAATCAGGACAGGCAGTAGACACAGAAAGCTAAGAAGGTATGAGCTTCACGCTAAGTTATTCAGGGAGGTTCCAGGTGAGGCAGAAACTATTCATATTGCAAAGGGTAACCAAATCCTTGGAACACATGCTACTGACATACAACAGAAGAATTCCATCTGAAGGCTGTACACAATAGAGCTCTGCAGACAACTCAGAATAGTCAGCTCTACCTGGAAAATTCTATTCCACACTAAACTGTACATGTTACATTTTGTATAGAAACTGCCCATCGTAAGCAGAAGTGCACTATGTACCTCTGAACCAACAGGGTGATGGAGGCAGGAATAGTGGAGAATCCAAGTTTGAAAAGTTATGATTCTAAATATATTCAGCCCTGGCTCAGTGGTTAAGAGTGTTGGCCAGCCCCCTGGAGAGTCACTGGGTTCTATTCAGTCAAGGGTAGGGTTGCAATTTCCATCCCAACCTCAGCTGGGGCTCATGCAAGAGGCAACCAATGGATGTCTCTCTCACATGGATGTTTCTCTCTCCTCTTTCATACTCCCCCCTCCCTTCCACTCAAAAAAAAAATAAAATCAATGGGAAAAATATCCTTACTTCTTGAGCGAGGATTTTTAAAAATATATCCACAGCCCTAACTGGTTTGGCTCAGTCCCAAGTTCGATTCCTGTCAAGGGCATGTACCCTGGTTGCAGGCACATCCTCAGTAGGGGGTGTGCAGGAGGCAGCTGATCGATGTTTCTCTCTCATCAATGTTTCTCTCTATCCCTCTCCCTTACTCTCTGTAAAAAAAAAAAAAAAATCAATAAAATATATTTATTAAAAAAAATACACACACACACACAAAACCTCTGGCTGGTGTGGCTCAATGGTTTGGAACATTGTCCCATAAACTGAAAGGTTGTGGGTTCTATTCCTAGTCAGGTTTCAGTCAGCGCATGTGCAGGAGGCAGCTGGTCAATGTTTCACTTTCTCATCAGTGTTCCTTTTCTCTCTCTCACTCTCTCTCCCTTCCTCTCACTCTAAAATCAAACATATCCTCAGGTGAGGATGAAAAAGAAATTTAAAGTTATAAAATACACACACACACAGGGAATGAGAAGTACACAAACAATAGATCAATTAAACAAACAAAAAAGGCAGTAACAGAGGAAATGAGACAGAAAATAGTGAAATAGAAGTTCTTCCTTATCAGTAATTACTTTAAATGTAAATGGATTAAACTAGCCAATCAAAAGGTAGAGACTGGCAGAATGGATAAAAAAACATAATCCAACTATATGCTGTCTATAAGAGATTCACTTTAGATTAAAGCACATAAAAGGTTGAAAGTGAAAGATGAAAAAAGATATTCCATGTGAAAAACAACCAAAAGAAAACAGGGGTGGTTATATTAATATCAGGCAAGATAGACTTTCAGTCAAAAATGGTTAAAAGAGATAAGCTACTACATATAGTGACAGAAGAGTCCATTCATCAAGAAAACATACACACCAGGGCCTTTGCCCTGAAGGGTCATAGGTTCGATTCCGATCAAGGGCACATACCTGGATTGCAGGTTTGACCCCAGATCCCAATCGGGGTGCATACAGGAGACAACCAATTGGGGTGTGTGTGTGTGTGTGTGTGTGTGTGTGTGTGTGTGTGTCTTCTCTCTCCCCCTCTTTCCCTTGCCTTCCACTATCTCTAAAAAAAAAAAAAAATCAATGGAAAAAATATCTTCAGGTGAGGATTCAAAAAGAAGATATACAAATTAAAGTGGCCAAATATATGAAGCAAACATTGACAGAACTAAAAAAAAACATTGACAGAACTAAAAAGAGATATAGTTCAATAATAATACCTGAATTCTTCAATTGATCCCTTTGAATAATGGGTAGAATATCTAGACATAAGATCAATAAGGAAATGGAGAACGTAACACAATAAACTAACTAGATCTAGCAGACACACACAAACACTCCACCCAGCAACAGCAGAATCTATATTTTTCTCAAGGGCACATGGAACGTTCTCCAAGACAGACCATAAGCTAGGCCACAAAACAAGTCTCAATAAATTTAAAATGATTAAATCACACAAAGAATCTTCTCTGACCACAATAAAATGAAGCTAGAAATCAAGAATACGAAGGAAAATGGAAATTTCACAAAAATGTGGAAATTAAACAACAAACTCTAAAACACCTGTGAAAAATTGCCACTCTTAATCAACCAATGAATGAATCAAAGAAATCTCAAGGGAAATTAGAAAATAAAGAGGAATGAAAACAAAAACACATGTATCAAAACTTATTTATGTAGTGAAAGCACTGCTCTGGGGGAAATTTAGAGCAGTAAATGCCTACATTTAAAAAGGAAAATCTTACATATCAGTAATTTGCTTTTACCGCTTAAAGAACTAAAATAAAAATTAAAGTAGGATCATTACTGATCTTTTCTTTTTAAAATATATTTTATTGATTTTTTACAGAGAAGAAGGGAGAGGGATAGAGAGTTAGAAACATCAGTGAGAGAGAAACATCGATCAGCTGCCTCCTGCACGCCCCCCACTGGGGATGTGCCCGCAACCAAGGTACATGCCCTTGACCGGAATCGAACCTGGGACCTTTCAGTCCACAGGCCTACGCTCTATTCACTGAGCTAAACCAGTTAGGGCAGATCATTACTGATCTTACAGAAATAAAAAGGATGATAAGAGAAAGCTATGAATAATTATATGCCCTAGAAGAAACAAAGTCTAGAAACATACCCAAGAAATACTGATCTTGGGCTTTTTAAAGCTTTTTCTTCTTCTCATCACATATTTTTAAGTCAGTCCAACAAATTCCGACAAGGATTTATACAAGTGAGGACCTCAGCAACTATATAAATAGCCCTTCCAAGGTTCTAAATGAAGCAGAAAGGAGAGAAAATATGACGATTCCTCCAGGGATGTGCCGGTGGCCAATGCCGCCCTGGCGTCTTTGAACCTAAGGCGAGGACAGCACCACATGACCACTCTTGCAAACTCAAAACCACATGAGGCTTCCCACACCCCATGTTGTACAAAACCGAGGTGTAAACATTCTTGACATTGGGGGAAAGCTTGATCTTTATCCTTTTTCTTTTCATCCCTCACCTCTCCCCGAGTACCGTCATTCAAATCAATCAAGGGCTTTCATCTTGACGGTGGCAACTGATGTGGTTCACACCATTAGGGGCAGACAGGCCATCCTGTCTTCAACTGTTTTCGATATAAAAGTAGTCAAGACGAGAATGAGTGGCACCAGTATTAGCACCGAGGCAATGATGTGACTGACTGAGAGGAACAGGAGTGTGAGCAGAGCACAGACCCCTGAAGAGGGCAGAGCCACACAGTGTTCTGTTCTAACACATCTCCTCCCCCATCACAAGCTGAGGAGGAGAAGCCTCGGCCAGAGCAGATGCGTATGTCAATTTACCCTGGCACTGAAGCTTTGGATACCATTTTAAACTCCATTTTAAACTTTGTTTGTCACGTAAGCGAATTAAGGAAGGCAAATTAGGAATGTGATTTTAATTTTCTACCAACATAAAGTATGTCTCAATCATTTTCTTTAAAAATATACTTAGAATAGAAATCCATACCAAAAGAACTACTGTGAGCATGACAAAGAGGCAAGAAGAACCTCGCCTGCTCGCGCGATTCCCTTTACCTTGTAGGCTGTCATTCGGTGCCGGGCAATGGTGGTCAGCTTTTCCAGGAGGCCTCGCAGCCGCTCCTGTGTTGCATGGGAGATCAAACTCACGGCCTCGGAGCTCAGTTCCGTGATGTCGTGCTTTCTGCCTGTGCAAGCAGAGGAACCAGGATGTGTTTTGGTGGAGGCTGATAATGGAAATAATTAGCACAGCAGGCATTCTGTTCCCCCTGGAAGTCAGACCCATTATGAATAAAGGTTTGGAGATTATGATTTTCCTGGTAAAGTCACAACTTCAAAGATCTTAGACATTATATTAATAAAACCTAGCCTGAAGCCTCAGAAAATATAGACATTGTTTCGCTTAGCCTCTAGGATCATTCTCCTTGCAAGGTCATTTATAGGACAAAGTTAATAAGAACACAAATCAAGCCTAGCATTCAGGGAGAAAAATGGTAACTGCAGAAATCAGTGCTGTATTCTGTTAATTTTACTAATGAAAAAAATAGAAAATTACACTTAGTCCTATTTGACACTGCTAACAATTTCTGGCATTTCATTGAATTCAGATTGTGAATTTCTGTTAATGCCTTGTCTACAGACATACCTATACTCCTTTTGTCCATTACCAATCTGCTGACATTCAAAATGGGTTCAAAGTCTCCTCATTCCATCCATCCATTTGAATCACTTCTCTTTCACTGTCTCTCCTTCCTACTCTGAAACCAGACTTTCACTCTTCCTCTTACTAACTAGAAAGAAACTCTTAGGAAAACATACCCAAAGGCAGAAGTTCATTTACAAGTCAACCTTATCACTATTTAAATAGTGATTCTCCAGCTTGGTGAAACCACCTAGATCAACAGAGACCTAAATCTAAAGATATAAGTAATTAGGTAGTGGAATTTAAATGAGCTTTTAATAGTGTTGCTGTGTTTGTTTTTTAATCCTCACCCAAGGATATTTTTTTCCTCACTGATTTTTAGAGAGAGTGGAAGGGAGGAGGAGAGACAGAGAGAGAGAGAGAGAGAGAGAGAGAGAGAGAGAGACATCGACTGATTGCCTCCCGCACACACCCCAAACTAGGCTGGGGATGGAGCTTGCAACAGAGGTAGGACTCGAACCCGCGGCCCTTCAGTCTTAGGGCAACACTCCAACCACTGAGCCAAACCAGCCAGGGCTGTTGTGTTTGTTTTTAACATATGCCTATACACAGAAATTTTAAAATATTAATTTGATTTTGCACTCTATCTGAAATAGTGTGAATGAGTATAGTAAAAACAAACTTTAATTAAAAGCCAAGAAATCTTAAATGCATTCTTTGACATTATTCCATAATCAGTGTTAAACTTTAATTCAAAATGTGGACTATAATAAACCAGATAGGAAGATTTAAAAAATTATCCAGCGGGAGCACCAAAGGCCACGAATTCCGTCTGGAGGCGTCTCTGAGCTCGCTTGGGCACCATGGGCAAAGCTCACCCCCCCGAGTTAAAGAAATTTATGGACAAGAAGTTATCATGGAAATTAAAGAGTGGCAGACATGTCCAAGGAATATTGCGGGATTTGACCCCTGTATGAATCTTGTGATGGATATGTATGGAGAGGCAACTGGTGGGCAAAGAACAATATTGGAGTGGTGGTAATATGAGGAAATAGTGCCATCATGTTAGAAGCCTTGGAACGAGTATAAAGAATGGCTGTAAGGGGAGCTATGGGGGGGGGGGGGGGGGGGAACATCTGTAATAATCTGAACAATAAAGATTAAAAAAAAAAAAGAATGGCTGTAGTCACCAGAGAAATCAACTGCTTCCACATGTTCCCTCTCCGCAGCACCTGCTTTACTACAATATAGAGTCCTGTCCATTTTCACATTCATCTTTTGTTAAATAAACTTCTGTACTGATCAAAAAAAACATTATCCAGCTTCTCCTAAGCCAAACCTTCAAAATGTACGTTACTACTTTCTAACAAACTGAATTCATCACCAACTTTAGATTCAAGAGGGGAAACCACACCACAAAGTCAAATCTACCAAAAGCACCAGCATAAACAGGTAGCGGGGACCTTCTGCAGAAGGGACGGGACTTCACACCCTCCAGTGACTAAACTACAGCTACACACGGGGGACAGGGAGTGACATGCCAGCTCAGGCTTAAACTAAAACAATGAACATTTTTAAATATTTAGTTTAGAAGGGGATCTTTGAAAATAATTTTACATGTATTTACAAAACAGTCAGTCATCCTATGGAAAGATACACTTTTCAAATATTAGAAATAAACAGGGCTGGATTTGTAAGCAATATCAGGATTTCATGAACAATCAAATGTTTAAATATCTTCACTAAACCTATTTTAAAAATGACAAAGTTAATACTGTAAGAAAAATCCCCACTGTGAAATAAAACACTTTGTTCAAGTCCACATAACTGATTAGGAGATCTAGTTGGTGTCTGCAAGCTTGCTGGGTGGTTTACAGAGGTCTGTGCGAGTTAGTGTACGTAATTACCAAGCAGAGAAAACACTGGCACGCTTACTCTAACATATTTAAGTAGAAAAATCTTCTTCCAAAATTTTAGGGGTAAATTTTTATTTTCTGTGACTAAGGAATGATCTTAGAGTTTTTAACCTGTTCAGTAAAAAGGGAATTTTACTAGAAATGGAAAACATTCCCAAAAATAACATAACTCCATTCACTCTATGGTCATTTTTTTTCAAGCTTAGGAAAATTCAGAAGTAAGAAGTTTTGCAATTTTTCATCCTGTTAAATGACAGGTTTGTGTTTCATCAAGAACTGAAAATACCAATAGTTGTCCCCAGAATTTTCCTTGAAAACAGAGGCTGCAAATTGAATGTGGTCTCTATTCAGTTTGTGTACACAATATGATGGGAATACAATTGTGCCTATTGCTTACACACTGTGTAAGCTGCTTGTGTAATAACAGCAGAGGGGAGCAGCTGACACACAGACCACACGGCTCACAAAGTGGCAAATATTTATTATCTGGCCCTTGCAGAAAACAATCGCCCATCCCTGTCCAAAAAGATTAAAAAATGCTCTTCCAGTGCTAAAAATTTTCCTACCATATAATCAATGTTCAAATCAAGCTAGAAATAAAATATGTAAGAGGGGCAAGGAGCTGACAAAATTACCTACTTACATGCTACCAAAGCTTCAGATAATTATATGGCTACAAATACCAGGAGTTCAAGTACCAGGAAATTTCCCAAGCTGTCACAGAAAAATATAGTGCTTGGGCTTGTTCCAAAATTAAAGAGCTGGCTCCTGTGCAGTACAGAATGCATATGGAAAGAAGGAAACTTGGAGAGAGAGAGGGAGAGAAGTCAAACAACACACAAGCAAACAGAAAACAAACAGTCAACTCTTCTGAACTCCTATCCCCCGGACTACGTGCACATGCTGGCTTTGCATGATGAAAGAAAGAGGATATGTACCCAACTTAAATCAGAGATAAAAAAAGTAGTAATAGCATAGTAGGAGCTCAAACATTTCTTTATTGAGTATTTTATAAAGTACAATATGTGAGAGTGATGCACTTTGTAGTCCTTAAATATACTGGGGGGATATAAAAAATCAGAAACCTTCCTATTTCTATTCGACCTTCGATATAAAATGGGAAGATCCCTGCTCAAGGGCACTCAAAGGCACTGGTACTGGCCCCAAATTCGACGCGGGTGAAGGAGACCTGCGCTCCAGCAAGCCCGGGGTCAGCACACAAGGAACAGGTACGTCACTTGCACAATACCTCGCCAGTCTGTCTCTTTCCCAGTTAATCTGAGGAGACTGCAGCCTTTCACATGAACGCAAGTTTGTTATTAAACAACAGAAAAGCCTTTTCACTCCAGAAAAAAAGCTATGTTCTCTTTAATTTCCTTTCATGTAATGTAGCCACCTAACAACCTACTGGACCTAGGAAGAACCCTAATATTCTAAATTAGTTCTTTTAAAGCAAGGGAGGGTTTGCATTTCAGGGCTGAAGATAAGAAAAAGGGGAATCACTCTCAATAGCTATTTCTTTCATAAACACAAACTTGTAACCTAAGTGTACATGTGTACGCATATAGGCCTAAAGACCAATCAAGGAAGAAGCAGGACAGAAAGAAAGTATATTATATGCACACTAGAGGCCCGGTGCACGGACTCGTGGTGGTGGGGTCCTTCGGCCTGGCCTGCACCCTCTCGCAAGCCAATCAAGGAAGAAGCAGGACAGAAAGAAATATATTATATGCACACTAGAGGCCCGGTGCACGGATTCATGTGCGGTGGGGTCCTTCGGCCTGGCCTGCGCCCTCTCGCAACCCCTGACCCTTCAGGGGATGTCGCAGAGACAGTTTTGGCACGATCCCTGCAGGGCACCGGGGGACCCCACGATGCACCGGGCCTCTAGCATGCATAGATCTTTGGTTAATCTCTTCCCTCCCTCCCCAATTCCCTCTGATATTCATCAGTCTGTTTCATGTTTCCATGCCTGCGGTTTCCACTCCTGCGCTGAACGTCTGCCCCCTGGTGGTCAGCGTGTGTCATAGTTACCAGATGGTTGGCCAGTCGCTTAGGTTTCTCTATCTATAAAAGCGTAATATGCAAATCGACTGAAGAGCCGAACAGCGGAATGGCTGTCCGGACAACCTTCCAGATGAAGCCTTCCGGATGAAGCCGGGGCTGCGAGGGCCTACTCTTGCACAAATTTCATGCATCGGGCCTCTAGTATACAGATATTCATATAAAAATATTAAGAAATATGAATAAAATATTATCTTCTATTTTTAAAATAAAATACTTCTTTCTATAGCACTCATGAAATCTATGTAAGCCTCAGAGTTCCAGGAAGACCAACCAAGGCCATTTCCTGGTATCACTGTCCCAGGAATGAGCAGTCCTATCAGGTCAACATCGTAAGCGGGCACTTACCAATGTCTAAAATTCTCCTCTGTAGAGCGCCAATGAAGAGAAATGGCTCATCTTCACACGACTGAATGAGCGTGCCAACCAGTTCAGAGTTTGTTGCTAAGATGCGGGCACTTTCCTCATTGAGGTTGACCCCGGCCATGAAAGTCACATCGTTGATGTCATCTTCATCCCTAATGGGAAGAGGAAGATCCAGCTTTGAGGGAGAGGCAGTGCTGGTGTTTACATGTGTGAATGATCTAAGAGACCTCAAAAGACACTTTACTCAATTCCCCCGAGCAAGAGAACTGAAGGATGGTGTCCTTCCCCGTAAGCCTTTCACATTAATTGGTAACTCTACCCATTGTGTACACATACCACCAGAAAAATAACCCAGAAGCAACTTTGTCTTCTAGCGCCCATCTCCCCTGCTCTTGGTTTAGTAAAGGAGATGCATCAAGAGGAATTGGAATTTATACTACCTTATCCACAAATCCCCTACACAAGGAAAGACAGACTTGTTTTCACCCAAGATGATTAAAAGCCCCCCACGTTCCCCAGTGCACTCCCCTGTCCACTGCGGGGCAGCAGAAATGACTCAGTCCTCAAGAGTCTGTACCTACATCAGACCCTGGAGAAGAGGCTTTCTTGACTAGCTATTCTGAAACTAAATGGTTAAAACACACTATTAATCATACAGCAGCAAAACAATGAATTACATTTGAAGCAAGGTAGAACATATGGTTAGTCTACACTAGAGAATCTGATTCCTGCAATATGAAAAAATGGACATTAAAGTTGGAGTAATACTATCTATGCAAATAACATGTAACCATCCTATATTATTTTCTCAAAGTGGCTTTTAAAGAAAAGTTTCAAAAATCACATTAAACTCCTAGCTGTTCAAAGACCTCCACTAACAGAAGTAATATATATGCATTATTCATCCATAAGCATTTCATTACTTTTCTCTAAAATATAAAGACTCTAAAAATACTTAACCATAAAGCATTATCACATTTTCCAAAAATCAACAATAATTCCTAATTATCATCAAATAGCCAGTCAGTTTAAACAGGCCTAACTATACAAACATGCGGAGGAAGTATGTTTGTCGCTTAGAATTCTGAAGTAGTGAGTGAAACATGAATCTCTGGCACCCTCAGGTGTTTAAGAAGGATAGTGCTACCGCTACTCATTCGGGTATACTGAGCAGAATAGAAAATAGGATTTTCTAAGTGGAAAAATCACAAACCAAAACATTTTCAGTTAAGCAAGTATTTTGAAAAAGTAGGCAGATATCACTGTTATTACACCTCATCCAGTTAAGTCAAGACAAGAGTTAATGCCACAAGAATACTTCCTTCTTACTAACAAGAGTCAACATTTCAACAATAACTGAAGTGATATTGATGTTACATATCCAAGGAAGCAAACTTAAATAAAAAGCGTGATGGCGAACCTTTTGAGCTCGGCATGTCAGCATTTTGGAAAACCCTAACTTAACTCTGGTGCCGTGTCACATATAGAAATTTTTTGATATTTGCAACCATAGTAAAACAAAGACTTATATTTTTGATATTTATTTTATATATTTAAATGCCATTTAACAAAGAAAAATCAACCAAAAAAATGAGTTCAGGTGTTACCTCTGACATGCGTGTCATAGGTTCGCCATCACTGCTCTAAGCTGTGTATACAACCACATGACTCAAATTACTGGAAAGCATTATATAATGGAAAACTGTAGCTCAGTGCAAAAAGCAAAGATATCAGCGTTAAAACTGAACTACGAAGGCCCAGGCCACATGAAGATGGGAGACAGAGTCCAGGGCCTATCCCATCTGACGTGTGCGGGACACAACTCGTGTGCTGAAGAACAGAGCGAATGCAAACTAGGATCCCCGGGCCATTACACACGCAACGGTCTCCCTACCTCCCCCCTACCTGACTGAGAGACTATCTTCTGTCCTGCTTATGCCACTGCTTTTTAGTTTTTCTGTTATCTACAACCTCACTGGAGTCTAACAATTATAATTAGAATGCATAAAATAGTCAATTCTCCCCCAAATTAATCTAATCACATCATCTCAATACAAAATTTTCATAGAACTGTCACGTTTCTAAAATTCATGTGCAATAGAAAAATAACAAGGAAAATCAAGGTATCTTTGATTTAAAAAGGGATAAAGCGAAAAAACATGCTCTATCAGATATAAAAACAAATACTGAAGTGGTAATAATTGAAAATGCAAAAATATTAACATAGACATAAAACAAAAACATAGAACTAAAATGAAATTCTATAGTTTACATTTCAGAACATAAGCTGCAAAATGGCAAATGACTGAGTCAGTTACAAAGAATTTGTAGCATGAGACATTTACAAAGATAAAAATCAAGAATTACTTAAGATAAAAGGGTATGTGTGCATATGTGAGGTGTGTGTGTGTGTACAGATATCTTGAAAAAGATATAGGATCACATCACTATGAGCTGTGGATAGGGACGGATTTCTTAGAATAGATCAAATTCAAAAGCCATAGAGGAATCCAATATTGTGACAAAACCTTCGTATAACAAAAGACACGAAAAACAGTGACAAGTTAAGCCAAAGAGTAAATACTTACATGTATAACAAATAATTACACACTCGCAAAAGTATATGAATCTAAAAAACAGTAAGAACTCAGCAAAAGTAATAAGCTAGAAATTTCCCAATGAAAATAGGAATGGTGACACTTTTGCCTCAGGCAGTAAGTGACTAGATTTACGAAGGAGAAATTACACATTACAACTAGACCAGCATAAGACATTCTCATTCCAGTGTTGCGTGCACAGACGTTGTCGAAAAGGTGTCAGTAAAAATAAGCAATGAGCAGCTATAAAGGCAGAACTGCCTCCGAGCGCATGCCTGAGGCAGCCCCAGCTCCTGGGCCTGTTACAGTGGAGAAACTGTCTAAGTCAGGTTCCCTAGAAAAAGGCTCACGTGGTCCCAATCAACAGTCACCCCCGTTTGCTGCAAGAAACAGCCATCAGTCCTCCCTGCAGTAAAGCAAACTGGACTGGGCCCTCAGGGTTCATCCAATTTACTAGCCAATAAGGTTTCAGATTCAACAATTCCATTTTTCACTTCTCAAGGTCTTATTTGGTTCTTTTTCAAATGTTTGTATTCATTTCTTAATAGGTAATTATTACTTGCTCATTTTTGTGATTCCACATTTTATTTTTAACCATTTCATAATAGTTTTTAATACTGAATACTTGATCATCCAATGTTTGAAATCACTGGAGTTCCAAAGGTGTTGCTCTTTCCCTGTAGTTTAAAGCAGGGTAACGCCCTGGCCGGTTTAGCTCAATGGATAGAGCGTCGGCCTGCGGAATGAAAGGTCCCAGGTTTGATTCCAGCCAAGGGCACATGCCCAGGTTGCAGACTGGATTCCCCAGCAGGGGGCGTGCAGGAGGCAGCCAATCAATGATTCCCTCTTATCACTGATTTTTAAAAAACAGGGTAACTTTTCTATACATGTGTTATCTGTGAAAGCGAACACATACATGGATAACAGAAAACAACAGAAAGACATTTTTAAACTGCTGAAAAGAGAGAGAAAAAAAGGCAACCCAAAATTCTAATCTTACTCCTGATCACATCATCTACATCAGTGGTTCTCAACCTTGGCTGCACATTAGAATCACCTGGGAATCTTTTTAAAATCCTGATTTCTAGGCCTCATCCTCCGGAAATTCTGTTTCTTTGTTATGGGGTGAGGCCACAACATTAGTAACAAAGAAACAGAATTTCCTGAGGATGAGGCCCAGAAATCAGGATTTTAAAAAGATTCCCAGGTAATTCTAATGTGCAGCCAAGATTGAGAACCACTGCTCTACATAAATAACCTAAAATAATCTGACTTGGAGAGCGACTGGCCTCTCATTATTGCTGGTGGGAATATAAATGGGACAGTCCCTGTGGTAAACAGTTTGATAGTTTAAGTACAGGTGCTCCTGGACTTAAGCCCCAGGAATTTGAATATATTTTAAGTCATAAATGCATTTAAAACAGCGAACCTACTGAACCTACCAGCTTGGCCTCAGCACCTTACACGCTCGGAACACTTACAGTAGCCTGCAGCTCAACGAAATCATCTCGCTGCTGCTGCCCCGCACCCTGCGAAAGTCGTAAAGCACTCTGCTAGCCCAGGAAATAGTAGCAATTCAAGATTCGAAGTACTGTTTCTAGTGAATGCATATAGTTTTCAAGGCACTATAAAGTCAAAAAATCATGAAGTTGAATTGTAGTAAATCCAGAAATCCAGGACCTTCTGTAGTTAAATACACACGTATGTAATGACCCAGCCATCATACTCCCACATATTTACTAGAGAGAAATGAGAATCTATGTTCATACAAAAATCTGTACGTAAATACTTATAGTGGCTTCATATATAATTGTTAAAAACTGAAAACCCAATGTTCATCAACAAGAAAAAGGATTTATTCATACAACAAATACTTCTCCCTAATGCAAAGAACAATTTTCTAATATTCATAATGACATAGGATATGAACTTCAAAAACATACTGCATAAAAAAATTCAGATGCAAAAGAGCAGATAATGTAATTTTTCATTTATGTGAAGAATAGACAAAAATGACCCATGGTGATAGATATAAAATAGTGGCTGTAGGAGGCAGGGACCGGGATATTGATTTTAACGGAGTATAAAAGCGATGGGTATGTTCTGCATCATGATCTGGGTGATGATTACCCCAGTGTACATGTTTGTCAAAACTCATTAAGATGTGCACTTAAAGTCTGTGCGTGCCAGGGCCGCGTGCACAGACATTGTCGAAAAGGTGTCAGCACTGTTTTGTTTATAAATTATACTCAAAGTTCTATTCGGTTTTTTTAAATGCATAAATATATTTATTATTAAAAGTACTATCTGTCATCTCTTTTCTTTTTTTGAAATGTCACTTCCTTAATCCAAATCAAGTTTTAACTATTTATTTTCTTTACCTCAAGGACGTTGCTCCATTCTCCTTTATTTTATCTTTCCGAATAGAAGATACTTGAAGAGGCAGAATTTTATTTCCTGGCAGGGTAGTTTGCTTTAGAATGGAAGCTACAAAAACAAACAAAGAAAAAAGCATGCTTTTAAATATACAATCAAGCTACATGATGAAAAATTCAGAACAGCTTTTAATAACAAAGAATAATCAAAGAAAACCTCAAACTGCCCTAAAACTATGTTTAAATTCAAATATGGCAATGAATTTATTGCCTGCACACGGAACCATTCACTAAAATCAAGACCCCCAGCCTTTAAATTATCTACAGAATTACCAGCACTATAAAAATAGTATGCAGAAAAAGTGACAGAAACATGTTAATGATATATCATTTCTATGGTAGATTTTAAAAAACAATAAAACCTCTAAATTTTATGCGCAAGACTAATTGACAAAGAAAGAAAGAAGCACATTTTAAAAAGAAAAGGCTACAGAAAATTTTCTAAGTCAAAAAAGTACTGCCCTAACCAGTTTGGCTTAGTGGATAGAGCATTGGCCTGCGGACTGAAGGGTCCCGGGTTCGATTCCAGTCAAGGGCATGTACCTTGGTTGCGGGCACATCCCCAAGAGGGGGTGTGCAAGAGGCAGCTGATCGATGTTTCTCTCTCATCGGTGTTTCTAACTCTCTATCTCTCTACCATCTTCTCTGTAAAAAATCAATAAAATATATTTTTTTAAAAAAGTACTTATTTACTACTGGACTGATGTATCTGATTACAAATACTGTGAATAGTTGCTTCTTTTACTCTAAAACAACATATCCCCTTAGAAAGTGGCTCTGTAGGTACAAAGATGTACCACAGTTATCTTTCAGTCTTCTCTCTCAGGTCCCAACATAAAAGACCACATCTCTCGTCTCTTAATAAATAGAACATTAAAAGAGAGTACAAAACCCCATGCCGTTTCAAACCCAGTGTGATGGGTCAGAGTCTGGCTGGAGGTGGCTGACCGGAAGTTGCTGCAGTGCTCACGGGCATCTTCTTCTGAAGGGTCAGTGCTGAGGAAGGGGGGAGTGTGCCCACTTGTCTGGAAATGCACCCTGAAGGCTGCTGGACTACCTGAAACAATGAGAACCGTCGTTATAGTCATTCAAGCAAACCTGCTTCAGTTATAACAAGAGAACAGCCAACTGTGCTCACCCAGCGGTAAATATAGCTGATCGTAGCATAACAAGAATGCCTACTTAAATCTAAATCTGTACGTGGCAAAATTATCTTGTTCAAAACTGAAAAACATGACGATCTCACACATTATATTACTTCTTAGAGTGGAGCTCAAATTTACATTACATATTGCCCAATTTAAACCTCCATATGTGCCATATTTTCATTTTTTAACTTTTATCATGGAAAATTTCAAATATATACAAAGGCAGAAGAAACAATAAGATGAAACCACCTATGCCCGTGGTCAGCAAACTGCGGCTCACAAGCCACATGCAGCTCTTTGACCCCTTGAGTGTGGTTCTTCCACAAAATACCACGTGCAGGCGCAAACACAGTGCGATTGAAACTTCGTGGCCCATGAGCAGAAGTTGGTTTTCGGCCTGGGCGAGTCTATTTTGAAGAAGTACTGTTGATATTTGGCTCTGTTGACTAATGAGTTTGACGACCTATGCCATTATTACCCAGCTTCAACGATGATTAATTCTTTACCAACATTGTTTCCTGTATATCTCCACCCACTTCGCTACCATCCCCAATTATTTTAAAGCACCCCCAGATATAATTTTTTATCTATCTACTAGAGGCCCAGTGCATGAATTCGTGCACCAGTGGGGGTTCCTCAGCCTGGCCTGCGGGATCAGGTTGAAACCAGCTTTCCGACATCCCCCGAGGTGTCCCGGATTGCGAGAGGGCACAGGCCAGGCCGAGGGACCCCACCGGTGCATGATCGGGGCAGGGGAGAGATGCCGGGGAGGCTGGCCAGCTGGGGAGGGAACACGGGAGGGTTCCAGACCGTGTCTGGCCCATCTTGCTCAGTCCCAATTGGCCGGACCCCAGCAGCAAGCTAACCTACCAGTCGGAGCGTCTGCCCCCTGGTGGTCAGTGCACATCATAGCAAGCGGTTGAGCAGCCTTAGCATATCATTAGCATATTACACTTTGATGCTTTAATTGGTTGAACAGCCGACCAGTCGACCAGACACTTAGCATGTTAGGCTTTTATTATATAGGATAAGTATTTCAAAATACTATACATCTCCAAAAGATAGACTTTTAATGGGCCGTTTTTAAAAAATGACAATGCTAAAGGCATCCTCCAAAATAAACAGTTCAAGAAATCCAAAGGGTGAGTGTTGGGGACAAAGGAAGCAAAGTTAAGGTAATAATAGCAGGGCCTTATTTTTAGCTTCAAAGAAGGAAAAAAGTACAATAGCAGAAGTACCTTTTTTTTCCCCCACCTCAAAGAAGAAAAATAGTCACCATGGATTTGAGCCAGCTACTGACAATGAACTATTTTAAGTCCTTAAGTTCATTTTTGGCTAATATAAATGTGCCAGGAGACAGACTTCTGAACAGAATTTGGGAGTACAATTTATTCTGTATTTTAATTTTTATTGTAAATAAAATATAAAATCTAGTGTGCATCAATCACTAAATAAAAGTAACTCATAGCGCCCTGGCCGGTTTGGCTCAGTGGATAGAGCGTTGGCCTGCAGACTGAAGGGTCCCAAGTTCGATTCCGGTCAAGAGCATGTGCCTTAGTTGCGGGCACATCCCCAGTTGGGAGTGTGCAGAAAGGCAGCTGATCGATGTTTCTCTCTCATCGATGTTTCTGACTCTCTATCCCACTCCCTTCTCTCTGTAGAGAATCAATAGAATATATTTAAAAAAAAAAAAAAGTAATTCATAGGAAACTCCAAATAGGAACTAATGCCCCTAGGGAAGAAATACTAAATTGGAATAATTCAACTTCCATCATTCTGAGAATAGACTCTATGTCCCTTAGCCCAGCCTGTGCTCTCTCGCAATCTGGGACCCCGCGGGGGACCCGATGCTGGTTGTAATACTTTGCACAGAACCAGCTTGGGAAGGTGAGCCTCAGTGGCAACCTGCATCTGGTGCTGTGCGTGGCCTGGCCTACAGACCAATCAGGGTCAAGTTCATGCCAGTGGCAGGAGGCAAAGGTGTCAGTTCAAATACATGTGTGCGCGCGCACACACACATAGAATAAATGATGATATGGGATATTTATATGTATCACCAAATTTGAGCTGGGACACACAATCTTGGGTCCCCATTATTGCTCATCATAACAACCATGACACTTGGGGCAGCATGTGCAGCATTCTCCTGCACATTTGTAAAAAAAGGAAAATAATGAGTGAAAATATGTAAGAGATTTATATATATAGAGAGAGAGAGCAGGAGGCAACCAATCAATGTGCCTCTCTCACATCGATGTCTCTCTCTCTCTTTCTCTCCCCCCCCACTCTCTCTAAAAATCAATGGAAAAAGTATCCTCAGGTGAGGATTAGAAAAAACAAAAAACAAAGAGACTTTTCCTTAAGGGATACGCAGTGTAGAGGTGCAATGTCATGATTTCCACCTCTCAAATGGTTCAGAAAAAAATGACGTGCACGTGTGTGTGCTTTGTAGTTAGTACGCCAGCAGAGCGAGGGAGAGCAAAGCTAATGTGGTAAAACGTTCACAACTGGTCCAACGTGGCCCAGGGTACACAGGGGCTCACTTTACTAGTCTTGCCAATTTTCTGAATGGTTGAAATTTACAAAATAAGGAAGAGAGGAAGGAAGGAAATGGTACTCACCAGCTGCTTGACTTTCACTGCCTGTGGGAGAGCAGCCGACTGGGAAAGGACGGGTCCCGGCTGTGCGAGTGTGATCTGGACCGGAGCGCCCATGACAGGCTTCTCAGAGGTGGTCCCAGCAGAAGTAACTACAGTTTTCACAGACGGAAGACAAACAGCTGATGAAGTTTCTCCCAAAGTTACTGATGGGAGGGCCAGCGTCACCCCTGCACCTGAGACCACTGGCTTCTCAGGTGGAAGCGAGACTGCTGCCACTGTGTTCTGTACAGAGGTCACAAGCGGTTTTGGCGTCTGAAGCACGACAGTTCCGGCTGTTGCTCCTCCTGCTACAGCAGCTGGACCCACAGAATGAAGTGTCACCACTCCAGCGTTTGCTCCCCCTGGGCCAACAAAGGAATTCACACTTTGCACGGACACCGTTCTGGGTGTGGCTGCTCCAGAGACGACCAGGGCCCGTTCAGCCTGGACTGAGGAGTCGGTTGCTGTCGCCACAGCGGTCACCGGAGTGGTGCCGGTAGCAACGACGGCCTCCCCGGAGGTCTGCTGAACACACTGCTGGATGAAGCTCTGCGAGCTGGGCAGGAGCTGTCGCAAGGCACTCACACTTTTCTAGAAGCAGGGAAGGGGAAAACACCAACCACTAAGGAGATCAGTGACTAGTAACATGAAAACACTTTGTATTTCCTATCCTTACAACATAAAATAATCCAAAAGTACATCAACTTTTCAGTTGAGGGAATCTGACATCACTTATTTACGTCTGTCAATATCCAAGATTTAATTTATTTCAAACGAAAAGTGCTTTTTTTTTCCAAAATGAAATGATTATGTCAGTCTTAAACTTTTGAATACTGAACATCTCAATTTTTATTCTGCCAAACCAGGCTCTTATTGTCAAAGTTACTGTTCTCCATTAAAATTCTGTTTAATGCAATACATCTTAGAGAAGAATATGCTACTAACAAAATAAATTAACTTTTAAAAATAGCCTTTCCAGCCCAGCCAGCATGGTTTAGTGGTTGAGCACTGACCTATGGCCAAAAAGTCATGGTTCAATTCCTGGTCAGGGCACATGCCTGGGTTGCAGGCTCGAAAAGCAGTCGATCGATGATTCTCTCATCACTGATGTTTCTCTCTCTCTCCCTCTCCCTTACCTCTCTGAAATTGAAAAAAATGAAAAAAAAATAAAAGCCCTCCACTAAATTTGGCATTATGCTGTTAATTTCTAAGAGAATGTGAGTCATTAGGAAAGAGCAGAAGGCCCTACTTTTGTAAATGTCAAGAATTTTGCACATACAAGCATTAAATAACATAATCAGGTTATATTCATGACTCAGATGGTACTTCGGTTTCCCAGTGTGTTCCAAACCAAAGAATACGAACTAGCAACATGAGTTACAGGTTACAAACGGAGAGGCCTCTCCTACATTGCTAGTTACCTTCGCCTTAAGTTGATAGCACGCTGAAATATTTGGGTTTTAAATTACATTAAAAGTAATCTAATACCAAGGATTTTTTCAAAGTAATAAATAGGTAACTCTACCTTAAGAAAAGGGACTAGGTGAGGCTGGGGTGAAGACTTGAGCTCAACATACAGTTGTCTAGTAAATTCCTCCGCTTCGATTTTTGCATCCTGAGGACAAGGGAAAGAAAAACACGTTTAGGTCTACAAATATTTTAAAGCAGGAACAACATGTAATTCGTGATGGTAAACATAACAAGCTCTGAACAGTGGTAAGTCCATCATTCAATGGAGGCATTTTTTTCATGTCACTAGTGAAATGAGTAATTGTAAACAATGGACATGTTTGTTCATGCAGGGATGATCCCGGTAAGCAAAACCAGAGTAGAGCTGACAGTCTGAGTGGAGCTACAGCACCGCAGGCTGTTCAGAGCCTGACAAAGTGGACAGGAGTCCTACATTCCTTAGGGTAGAGAATAGGAAGTTATTTGGTTTGGGGGACTGGAGGTTTTTTGTTTTGGTTTTTCAATTTTGAAATTACCTTCATCAGGATACACTATTTTCAGAATGCGGGGGCTGTTAATAACAGATACAATTGTTCCAAAGGACTTAGGAAGCCTTCCATACTGCCCTACAGTCTAAGCATTTCAGGGGTCTATGAGGTCTAAATTATTTTCATATTAATACTAAAAAGGTTTTTTTTTGGCCTGTTTCACTGTGCTGAGATTTGCACTGATGGTATAGAAGCATCAGTAGGTAAAATTGCTGGCAAGAAAGACAATGGCAACAAATTAAAAGAGGTGTCATCATATTCTCTATCACCTGGCACTTGGGGTAAAAAAAAAAAAAAAAAAATAGAGCCAGTTTCCTTTTTAAATGTCCTCAATGAAGCAGTAAAAATTCATTTGATTAAATATCAACCCTTCAGTAGACATCTTCTTAATATTGTGTGTTAAGTAATGTGAGCCACACAGAACATTTCTGCTACAGACCCAATCAAGATGCTCAAGGAAGAGCAGCCTGTGATGGAGACGCTGGTGACCCAGCATCAGGTAAGACCCTCTCCAACATCACAGGGAGCTCCCCAGGTACCTATCTGAGGGACATCTACTCCTGTTTACGGACATCAAAGACTCCTCGAGGGTGAGAAGCCACTGACACCAGAGAGAGACAGCTATCCCAAGACACCGACAAAGCTTTATCGTTATGGATTGATACTGGACTCAGAACCCATTTTGTTTTACTGTTTTTACCTAAAATACTAATGATATAAGTCATAATAATTGTTATACTTGTTCTTTGGGTTTTTCTATATAGTCCAGCTATTTCTGACTATTGGACATATATAACTGTTAATATTCTTCTCATGGTTTATGTAAATGTTATACTAGAAGCCATATACAGAAAAATAAAACAGAGGTAAATAAAACCTCAAATCATGATAGTTCATAGGATAAAAATGATCTAAGACTATTTTCTCACAACGAAGGTCATAAGACCCGACTACCTTCCATTAACCTGCTCTTCCCTTTTTGGGAAAAATACCCCCACAACTCAGATCCTATGGTTACAGCACTGCCCCACCCCAATGGTCAGCAGGCAACACTGATACTGAGGCTTCCCAAAGCTGCGAGACCACACTATCCGACTAAAATTTTGGTCTTCCAGGCATCCTTCCAATTGATTTATGATCAAAAAGGGCAACTATGGACAAAAAGAGGGGGTATTCTATGGGAAGTAACCTCACAGGGGATCTGATCATAAAAGCCTAACAGGGCAGCTCATGGGCAGTCATGCCCCAGGTCTGAGCTTTAGTGGAAAGTTTAAGCCAGCTCTGTCCATTGCTCTTGGGCATGTATGTAACAAACCTTTGAAATGTCAGAGGTGAAAACCTGGAAAGGGGGTATTAACCCTCAAAAGAGCACACAATCTTGCTAACTATCCTGTAATCCAACTCCTGCCTTGCTTTCCCCACTTCCATGTCATCTTCCATGTTCCCTCCTTCATTTCAAATGCACACAAAGATGCAAAGCTGTTATTCTCAGAGCATTTGGGATCTTGCTTCTCAGTATATATATGTCAGCAGTTTGGTTCAAATAAACTCTTATAAAAATAAAAATCCAAAATTATATTGTTATATTCTCCGCATATTTCTTAAACAGTTAATATGCTAATTTCCACATTCATCCACTTTGTAACATATCTAAGCATTTTACCTGAAAGAGGATAGAAGAAACAATTTGGTGGCTAAAAGACACGGCATCTTGGCACTTAACATAAACCTCAAAGATCATCACATCTACTCTGCTCATGTCATAGAGAAGGAAGCTGAGGCATAAGGAAGTTAATTTATTTCCACAGGTCCCAAAGTTTGTTGTTTGGACATAAAGAACTGAATTTTATTCTTTAATAGCCTGGCTTTTGGCATTTACAATTCTCATAACTTTTTATTTGACAAAGTCAACCTTCTCTCCAAGTCCCCTTTTGGCTAAGGGAAGAAGACTGACACAGAGAAAGCAGTGTATACTACAATAGATTGGCCTGTCTGAGACTTATAATCATCACAAAGCTTTCAAGCAGCAAAAGCAAAGCTTATGTAAAAACCCATTTAAAATAAACTTCATTTAAAAACAGTCATTTCCCATTTAAAAGACGTTCTATGGATCTTACAGAGCTTGCAAGGCTTCATCGCACTGACTTACCAAAAGTTGTCCCACCAGCTTCTTGACATTCTGCCCCATCTCTGGGGACTGTGATCCACTACATGCTAGTTTTATTAACATCGCAAGAAAGTTCTTACATTTCTTCACATTTTCTAGCATCGCCTAAACATGGAAATAGAAACAAGCACTCATAAGAGTTAAAACTTTTCTGAAGAGCTGCATTGATGGAAGGTGCAGTGAGAGCTTACCGGAGTGAGGTTGGTCTGAGCAGCTGCTGAGTTCCCTGCTTTGAGGGTGGGCTCACTAGAGGGTGCGTGTGATGCTCCCAAACTTGAAGGCTGCAGGGTAGTTACAGTATTCGACGGCTTCACAGGAGTGACTGTGACAACACTGGTTGGCACAGCCACAGACTGAAATTAAAAGGAGCATGTATTTAGATATGTAACACTGTGATAGGTATCATAGTGGGCGCCTCATTTCACTTACCAGACCATACAGATGGACTTGAAATCTTTGCTTTTATGTTATGTAACAGCTACAAAAGCTCTGGACTCTAGTAGATCTGGGATTCAGTCTCACCTACCTTCTTTTCATTGACACCTACTGAGCATTGAACTCAGGCAAGTTACTTACTCCTGCTAACCCTCTGATTCCTGTCTATAAAAAAAAAAAGGAACAGCAATGCTACCTACTACTTTAGGGTTCTTTGTGAAATACAGTGCCAAGCACAAAGTCCTCACAAAATATTAATACTTCTCTAAAAAGGATTGGAAATAGTAAGCCTTTATATAGAAATATAGAATTTCCTGTTCTCTAATTCTCTGCTTTTTCATAAGTATAAAGCAGAGAGATTTACTGGCCATTTTATCCTATACAGTGGGGCCTTGACTTACGAGTTTAATTTGTTCCGTGATGGAGCTCATAACTCAAATTACTCGTATGTCAAATCAAAAAGTGAAAAAGTGAGACACATGACGCTGGGTTGATGTTGTGGTGTTCACTGTGACGTTCGCTGCGCCAACTAGCGGTGGGGTATCTGAAGCTGGCTTGTAACCCAAATTTTAGCTCACAACTCAAGGCAAAAAATCAGCCGAGAGATGGTTCGTATCTTGAAAAACTCGTTAGTCGGGACACTCGTAAGTCAAGGCCCCACTGTGTAATAAAACACTAATATGCAAATCGACCAAACAGCAGAATGACCAGCGGAATGACCGGTCACTATGACACGCACTGACAACCAGGGGGCAGAAGCTCAGCACAGGAGTCTGCTCCCCCGAGAGGGAGGCGACCAGTGGCGCCGATGGGGGGGTGGGCAGAGCCAGCTGACCAGGGGCCCCACAGATGGCTCTGATGGCCAGCCAGGCCTAAGGACCCTACCCTATATATTGGGAACAGTCTCTTAGATTTAAAAATTAAAAGCTGGCAAGGCTACTCTAACACTGAAAAAACAGGATGATGCAGTGATAACATGCATGGACTCTGGCTTGCACATTTTGTGGTCAGCCCTGATTCTGACACTTATAACTGTGTGACAAAGCCAGTTACTTAACTTCTCTCTGCTTCAGCTTTTCCACCCATAAGATGGGGAAAATGGTACTACTGCCTCAGAAGGATCATGTTATGAATTACTTTTTATAATCAGGGCAAAAAAATGTAGCTGCCCGTACAATAGCAAGATGCCTTTCACCTGTATGAAAAGTATGGTCACTGGTGCATGCAGCGTCCCAGATTGCGAGAGAGATAGCCGACTGCCGGTTTAGGCCCGACACCCCCCAAGGGGTCCCAGATTGTGAGAGGACGCAGGCCAAGCTGAGGGGACGAATTTCGTGCACCGGGCCTCTAGTATTCAGGTAAGCTGCTTTTATGTAGACCATAAGAGTAAGTAAGCATTACAAATATTATGAAAATGATATCTTATTTTCACACTGAAAAGAATTTCAGTTGCTTCTTCTACCCTCCACTGAAATGAGGTGTGATTATAGCACCATCTGCAGGATAAAAAGTTTCATACAAGAAATCAAAGTCAGGTTGTAATTTAGAAAACTACATTGAGATAAAGCAACAAACTTATTTTAAGGATAGACACTAAAAGTTACAGAATATGAGTAAAGTTTGAGGGTAGAGAGAGAATAATATTTACAATTCACACATGAAACTGAACACTGCACCTTCATTCTAATTTAAATGCTTGTCTTCTATCGGCATACAGCACCCGCTTCTGGACACTTGGAGACATGGCAGTTTGATGCGTTTGTGTTAATTTAAAATATTCAAGTAAAGTTGATATTCTAAGAATCTACACCAGTGATGGAGAACCTTTTGAGCTCGGCGTGTCAGCATTTTGAAAAACCCTAACTTAACTCTGGTGCCGTGTCACATACAGAAATTTTTTGATATTTGCAACCATAGTAAAACAAAGATTTATATTTTTGATATTTATTTTATATATTTAAATGTCATTTAACAAAGAAAAATCAACCAAAAAAATGAGTTCGCGTGTCACCTCTGACACGCATGTCATAGGTTCGCCATCACTGATCTACACCATGTTTATCTTGTGTTTCCCATACCTCCAACAGTTACCAGTTTGATGCATGTCATCATACATCACTAAATTGCTCTCTTCAACGTCACACAGTCAGCAACTTATACATCTGGCAGAAAATCCTATATAATAGCCCTGACCGGTTTGGCTCAGTGGATAGAGCGTCAGCCTGCAGACTGAGGGGTCCCAGGTTCGATTCCAGTCAAGGGCATGTACCTTGGTTGCGGGCACATACCCACCAGGGGGTGTGCTGGAGGCAGCTGATCGATGTTTCTCTCTACCCCTCTCCTTTCCTCTCTGTAAAAAAATCAATATATATTTTTTTAAAAATCCTATATAATAAAAGGCTAATAATGCAAATTGTCCCCTCAACCAGGAGTTCAACCAGGGGGCGGGGCCAGCCCAGCCCTATTGACCCTGACCCCACCCGTGCAGGAATTCGTGCACCGGGCCTCTAGCAGCTAAATAATAAAGAAATATGGAAGAATAACAGGGCACACATGGCCACCCGTCTGTCACACTTACTTGTACTAAGGAAGGCTTTGTAACAGTGGTTACCACAGTAGCTCCCATTTGTGCCAATGGTTTAACAGGTGCCACAGCCACTTTCTTGATTAACTGTGAATTAGAATTCTGGGGGTTGGAGAGATAATACAGAGTCATCAGCATTAGTAATTTAAAATCACTCAGGCACTAGCTGGTTTGGCTCAGTGGATAGAGCGTTAGTCTGCGGACTGAAGGGTCCCAGGTTCGATTCCAGTCAAGGGCACATGCCTGGGTTGCAGGCTTGATCCCCATTAGGGGACGTGCAAGAGACAGCCAATCAATGATTCTCTCTCATCATTGATGTTTCTATCTCTCTTTCCCTCTCCCTTCTCTCTGAAATCAATAAAGATATCTTTTTAAAAAAATTAAAAAAATAAAATCAATCAGTACTGGGGCAAATATAAAAACACTTTACCATAGCAAACTTCTTCGTTGTACCTGGCTTTCTAACCTTATAAATGCTATGCACATTCTCTACTATGAACTTAACTGGCCAATCGACCAGTTGATATTTCATATACCTAAGGAGGCAAGTGATTTAACAAATAAGTATCCAATTACTTCAGGATAAATTTCCAAACTCGACAGTATGGCGTATATAGAAAACGTGGATTCTTATTTGCTATCATTGACAGAAAAAAATCTTGCTAATCTATCTTCTCAACCCACTGCAGTTAGATACAGCAAACTGGAAAGGGAAGGAGTAGCTATCACTGACAGATACAGTTAACAGAGAAAACGACTGGTTGAAAACCCAGAATCAAATTAGAAGAGTAAAATAATGGGGGTGGGGGAGATGTAAATTGGCAGAGAATAATATTACCACAGAAAACAGTGCAATCTTTCTTTAGCATGAACCTGACTCATCAAGAAAATGCTATACTATATTCAGCATTTTCTATTTAATCAAAGAAAGATGCCCAGAAGTATGTGTATATGTATATTTTAACTCAGGCACACAAAGTAAGCTGCAGGTGCCTAGAAAGATCATCATGTATGTAAAATAAATCGGCCCTGTACAACGCCAAGGTGATAAAATACTGCATTAAAGTTCTGAATTTCTTAAAGGTAATTTCTATAAGCTACGGATAAAAGTGAATACTAAACTGTAGTCTTAATATTTTGCTATAAATTAAAATTGAAGCAGAATGGCTTTCTTTCCATTTAAAGATACAAACAGCCCTTTGAACAGTCCCTTAAGGACTACAAAATCTTTGAGTATGAAGACTGAATTTTTATTGTTTTAGCAATCAGCAAATGACAAAACCAAGATACTTGATAAATTAAAGAAAATGAAAAAAGAAAAAAAGAGTTAAGGTACATTACCGGCATTGCACAGATTTTGACTGTTTGAGGATTCGTTGGTAGCGCCGGTCTTGAAATTATGGTACTTGTAGTCTCGGCTCTTGTTACAGGTTGCTGAGGAGATACCAACATCAACTGACCACTGTTACTTTTGATCAAAACTGTTCCTATATTGAAAAAGAAAAAAAAAATTGATGTAGCTGATAAATGAAGCATAATTATCAGCTATTTCTTCTCCTATTTCTTTCAGTAATGTAAATGGTCTGAAAAAGTGATTACTACATACTGAATTCCATATCTACTAGTCTCTATATATAAAAACCTAAGCACCCGGAATGCCGGAACAACAACCGGAACGACCAATCACTATGACACGCACTGACCACCAGGGGGCAGATGCTCAACACAGGAGCTCCCCCCTGGTGGTCAGTGCACTTCCACAGCCCGCCAACCTCCCCTGGTCCCTCCCGAGGCCTCCCAACCTCCCCTGGTCCCTCCCGCAGCCAGCCAATCTCCTGTGGTCCCTCCCCCACCACTGTCCAGCAGGCCCTGGCCAGCGGCGGGAAGGTCCCAATTGGCCCTGATCACTGGCCAGGCCTAGGGACCCAACCCGTGCACAAATTTTGTGCACCAAGCCTCTAGTTACATAAAATATAAAAATGTTTTTACTCAAACCTACTTAAAAGTCTAAGTATATGGCTGAAACCTTTCTGGGGGAGGCAAAATACTTTTTTCTTCATGACATGAAACTATAAAGCTACAGTAAGATGCCATGAGTAAGAAGGCATGGTAAGACTATACGAACTGACCAATAGAACAAAACAGAGAAGCCCAAAATGGACTCATATAGTTATGTAATATCGAATTTTCCCAAGAGGCCCTGCAGATCAGTGAGGAAGAGACTGACTATTCAATAAACAGGACTAGGTCCATGCACTATCTACATGGAAAAGACGGAAAGCTTCACACCATCCACTAAAACCACTCAAGGGTAAAAAGGAAAACCTTTTAAACTCTTAATGTAGAAAATTATCATTCTTAACTTGGACTAAGAATTTAACTATATAATGTTTGATACATCTGACTATATCAAAAGAGCTTTTGTTTAGCAAAAGACCACCAGGTAAAAAGACAAACCACAAGATGAGAGAAATTTTTAGTTCACATATATTCAAAGGACGAATGTCCAAAATAACAGATGCCAATGACAGAGAAAGGTAAATTAAGACCACAGTGAGATATCAACTTATATTTACCAGATAGGCAAAAATTAAGAAGTCTAAAAGCATTTGCTCATTTCATGTCTCTGTCATATTTTGGTAATTCTCGTGATATTTCAAAATTTTTCATGATTATATTTATTATGATGCTCTGTGATCAGTAGTAATCTTTAATTTCCTGTAATTGTTTTGGGGTGCCACAACAATGCCCATATAAGATAGCAAACTCAATAAATGCCGTGTGTTCTAACTACTCCACTAATCAGCAATTTCCCCATCTCTATCCCTTTCCCCAAGACACAACAACATTGAAATTAATAGTTATTAATATTAACCCTACAATGGTCTCTCACTGTTCAAGTGAAAGGAAGAGTCCCTCATCTCTCTCTTTAAATCAAAAGCTAGAAATGATTAAGAGAAAGGCAGGTCAAAAGCTGAGACAAGCTGAAAATTAGGCTTCGTGCACCAAACAGTTAATAATGCAAAGGAAAAACCCTTGAAGAAAATTAAAAATACTACTTCATGTACACATGAATCATAAGAAAGAAGAAAGTTTTAGTGGTCTGGGTATTAAGTCAAACCAGTCACACCATTCTCTTTAGCCGAAACCTAATCCAGAGTAAGGCCCTAACCCTTTTCAATTCTACGAAGGCCAAGTGAGGCAGCTGCAGACGAAAAGTCTGAAGCGAGCAGAGGTTGGTTCCTGAGGCTTAAAAAAAGGAACGGTCTCCATAACAAACTAAGAGATCTAGCTAAGACAATTAATGAAGGTGGTTGAGGTGAAAGAGGTGTGCAATGTCGATAAAACGGCCTTACTTTGAAAGATGCCATCTAGGACTTTCACAGCTGGACAGAAGTCAATGCCTGGTTTCAACTCTTCAAAGGACAGGCTGACTCCCTTCTTAGGGGCGAATGCAGCTAGTGACTTTAAGGTGAAGCCAATACTACGCATTTACCATTCCAAAAAACGTAGGGCCCTTAAGCATTATGCTAAATCTACTCTGCAGAACAAAAAGCCTGGGTGACAGCACAAGTGTTTAAACACAGTTTACTGAATACATTGAACCAACTCTTGAAACCTACTTCTCAGAAAAGACTCCTTTCAAAAGAATTACTGCTCATTGACAACGCTCCTGGTCACCCAAGAGCCCTGGGGGAGATGCACAATGAGATTAATGTTTTTGTGCCTGCTAACCCAACTTCCCTTCTGTAGCCCATGGATCAAGGAGTAATTTCAACTTTCAAGTCTTATTATTTAGTAAAGGAATGTATTATTTAAGGCTATAGATAGTGATTCCTCCGACGGATCTGGGCAAAGTAAATTGAAAATCTCCTGGAAAGGATTCCCCACCAACAACACTCTCTCCCGCCCCTCATCAGAGCCGTCTGCCCATTCTCTCTGAGTCTGTCTCAATTTTGACTGTTAGTTCAATTAGATTCCACATGAGCAAAATCATATGGTATTTGTCGTTCTCCGACTAGCTGATTTCACTTAGCATACTGTTCTCCATGTCCATCCATGCTTTCCCAAAGGGTAAGATTGTCTTCCTGTTTATGGCGAGTGGTATTTACTCCAAGTGTAAGTGGAGCATAGTTATGTTATCCACTCGTGTATTGAGGGACTCTGGCTGCTTCCAGTCCTGGCTACTGTAGATAACAGTCCCAATGTGGCCTCCTCTGTCAGTCCTTGGTTACAAGGCTTCTCTCCAGCTGCTCTTCACATGGTTATTCAGGATGGTTTTTCTAGACTTTAGTTGTAATTCAGGTTGGTCCTGGAGGAGGTGAATGTAGCTTCCACCTAGTCTGCTGCCACCTTGGATCTTCCCATATTTACATATTATTTAAACCAGTTCTGATCATAGAGGAAATTCTAAAGAGAAATAAAATACTTAAAGTATATCATCAAATCTCATTTCTCCAACGTCGCCCATCTCCAACAATTCAGTTCTCAACCAAGTTGTTCACAGAAAAAATGTGTCAGTTGTCAACCAAAACTTCAGTTTTCGACCAGACAACACTTTCATGCTTATACCTCAGCATGACAAAAAGCATCTCTCAGGCAACAAAGGAGAAAATGCTTTTGTTGCTGGTGAAATCAGGATTAGCACAATTTTAAAACATAAAGAGGCTATTACGAGTGCTAATGTTGCTTAGGCTTCGAAGATGCTCACGAAACAACAATCGCAGGCAATTGAATAGGTAGAAAAACTATTGTTAACTGGAGTTGGGTTAACTAAAAGCAGTTCAGCCAATGCTGTTGGTGGTAGCATTTCAGAGGCAGTGAGATATGAAAATTTTGTTTAAGGCTAGTGGGGGTTAGTTTGATAAATTTAAGAAGTGTTTCTTTATAGATTAAACAGCACATTAGACATGTACATGTATATGAGAAAGGCTAAAACAGGGAAACATTATGGGGGGAAAAATAATTCGGTCTTCAAAAAATCGCTTCCTGGAACGAACGAATTAAGTTCGAAAACCCAGGTCCCACTATACTACCCTTAAAGTATAAGACTTCTGTATAATTAAGGAAATCATCCTTGAGTCATCAATTGCTAATGCTCAGTATGTAAAAGAAATGGTACAAGAATCATAATCTTGCAAAAACATTAGTGTCTCCATTTCATTCAGCTCTTGGTTACCTTCTGCATGGATGAGAACACAAGGTCAGCATGCTCTCCTGCCGCACATCGGCAAGAATCCCCACCAGCTGCCCTGCAGAAGCCCCGCCCACCCCCTCTGGAGCTGAACACCAACCACTAAAGGCAATTCATCTCCTCCCAGGAGCTTCTTCAGGCCACAGCATACAGGTGTTGGTGCCACACCCTTAGGCTCTGGCCCGGTTTGCTGCTACCTAGCGCTGGCAAGTTCAGTGTATAAGAAGGTTAGGCTCTAAAACTCTATAAATCACCTTTATCCCTGATACGCAATGAGACATAACTGTACGCACACACCAAGTGGCAAGCACTGTGCTGTGGAGAGAGGACAGCAAAACAGATCTGGATTCAAATCCGCCCCCCCCCCCAACACACACACACCTATGAGTTTTGCACGGGGCAAATTACCCTTAGAGAATGGTTACTTGCTACCTGTTATGACCAACACACAAAAGAATATAAATAATGCATAGAAAGTGCGTAGCCCTCCCTAGGTGACCAGTACACGCTCAATCAGTGATCAGTTCCCACTTAGCAAGTTTTCACTCGTGAAAGTTCTCCCATTTTCATACTTTTTAAAATTGCTTCTAAACAAACTTCACTGACTACACAGCCGTTTAGCTTTAGGCGGTGATTTCATTCAAACACATTCCTCACCTCTTCATAAGAATGCGTGCAGGATCTTTAGAACGAGAAGGAACTGTATCCCATGACGCACACAGCTTAACTAGTGTACGTCCCCCCGTGTCCCAGACAAAACCGAAACAGAACTCCATCAGAAGTGAAGAACATCATCTTTCCACGATGGTCACCACCAAACAGAACACTGGCTACAAAAGAGACCCCATCGTTTCTCTGGGGGAGGGGGGGGTGTGCTGAAACCCTTGAAATCAAATGCTGGGACTTCTTTGCCACCTTGGCCTGTCAGACCCCCATTCCGCTGAGCAAAATTCACAGAAGAGTTCATGCAAAGAATGGGAAATGCGCTGCCCCCGCCCCGAAATTCCAAGAGCTTTTCCGCGGAGGAAAGCAGGTAACCGCTCAAATACCCTTTGTCGTATTTACAATATGTAACTGGTCGGAGCAAAACCTTTGCACAAACCATGGGAAGCAGCCCCACAGCAGCCTGGGGAGAAGGCACATCGCCCCTCCCGCAGCGCACGCTCCGCTGTCAGGCCACAGGCGCGGCTCTGAGGGAAAGTGGGGGAACCGCACGTCCCGGACCCGCACAGCCAGCATCGTCACCCCCGGCGCCCGGGAGCAGGACGCTCGCCTGCAGGTCAGTGCACAGCC